GATGTGTCCATTTTAGTTAGGATGGTTGGGAATGCTTCTCTGAGGGGACACTTGAGCTGATTGATACCTGAATAATCAGAAGGAGGGGACTTGCAATGTTGGAGGTGCTGAAGGTGAACCCAGTTCAAACTGAGGGGTTTTTCATTTATAGCATGGAATAGGAAAATGTCTTTTGCGGCTGGAATTAAGTGAACAAGGCAGGAGTGTTTCTTAACCCTTTTTTTTCCTTAATTGACCCCCCCATGGCCCCCATGAAATTTTTTTGACCCCCCTCATGAAATTTTAACTCAGCTATTTGTGTACTATAAATATATCTGTTATATCTATGCTTTTATACATTAAAAGAGATTTTTGCCCTCCACTGCTCCCACCTTCAACTAATTTCTCCCTCTTGGGGGCAGTACTACCCCACTGAGAACGCAAGATGTAGAGCAGTGTATGCCGTAGTGAATAGTTGAGATTTTTTTTCTTGATGAGAAATCATCATGAAGGCTTGGGTCAGGTAGTGACATGATACAGTTTATGTATTAGAAAAGAATTTTAGCTACTCATGGAGACTAGACTGAAAGAGAGCCAGAATAAAAAGTAGGCATGCCAATTAGACCAGTAGAGAGGTGAAAGGTAATGGTGGCTTGGTCTTCAAAGATTATTGTTAAAGAGATAAGGAAGATTAGAGAGACCAAAAGAGGGGAGAGAATAAATGGATGTAGCATTAATGGTCATAAAGTATGTCTACATATGATATTGATGAAAGCTTGGGGAATAGTGTGCCCTCCCAAGTTACAAAGAGAGGTTGCCTATAGAACCCAGTGAAGTGAAGGAAGGAAATGACCCTTGGGAAATGAGAAACTTGTCTGATTTTTACCCTTGTTAACATTTGAAGTTTATTTTTCAGTAGATTATAACACAGTTTAGAATGGTCAAAACTCTATTTATTTCAACTTTCTGTTTTTTATTTTCTCAGTAGGAATGTGCCCCCATATTTTGTGCCTTCCATTCCAGACTGGGAAGTCTTTAAAAGCCTGCCTGTTCTTTTGTGTTCTGCTGCAGTAGTGGTGGTTATTAGTATGTGAACATTTTCAGTTAAAGTTTCTGTTAGAATTAAATGATTCTTACCTAATAGACAATTCTTGGACCCTCTGACTTATTGAGGGTTAGTATTGTGAATTCCCCAAGGCAAAAGGACTCATACAGGTGCTTACTGCAATTTGTTGAGTCAGTGAACAGGCTGTTTTTCCAAGATCATAATGGAAGTTATTAGAACCCAAATGAGATTTTATACCACAGTTTTGTCTCAAAATTGAATGAATGCAAAATTACTGGGAATGTTTAACAAACCCTGATGGTGACTGAAAATGGGAAATAGCATAAGTAGCATAAGTGGTTTTAAAAAGGAACTGCAGAGGGGTACGTGGGTGGCTCAGTCGGTTAAGCATCTGCCTTCAGCTTAAGTCATGATCTCAGGGTCCTGGGATTGAGCCCTGTATCCAGCTCCCTGCTTGGTGGGGAGTCTGCTTCTCCCTCTCCCTCTACCTCTCCCCACTGCTCATGCTCTCTCTCTCTCTCAAATAAATAAATTAAAAAACAAAAAGGGACTGCAGGGAGTTCTGAGGTTCACACACCATTCAGATCCTGTAACTCCTTGCCAAGGGGAGACATGAAGGCCTCCTGGGCTCTGATGAGACACAGTGCAGTGCATCTGGAGCTTTTGCTGATTGGGAGTATGTTGCATTTACAAATGATCTGGAGGCACAAAACGTTTGAGAAGTGAGATTTATGACTTTATTTTCAATGCCTTGTTTTTGTGTTTTTTGGTGTTTCTATAGCCTAATTTCTCAAACACAGTGGTAATCAAACAGGAAATTTTGCACATTTTTAAAATGTGACCAAAATTTTTAAAAAAAATTTTATTTAGGGGCACCTGGGTGACTCGGTTGGTTAAGTGTCTGCCTTCGGCCCAGGTCATGACCCCAGGGTCCTGGGATCGAGCCCCCATCTCGGGCTCCTTGATCAGTGGGGAGCCTGCTTCTCCCTCTCCCACTCCCCCTGCTTGTGTTCCCTCTCTCTCTGTCAAATAAATAAAGAAAATCTTAAAAACAAATTTAGTTATTCATTTATTTAGAGTGTGTGTCTGAGTGGGGGATGGGCAGAGGGAGAGGCAGAGACTCTCCAGCAGACTCTGCGCTGATCCTGACACAGGGCTCAATCCCAGGACTCCGAGATCATGCCAAGAGTCAGAGGCTCAACCCACTGAGCCCCCCCAGTGACCAAAATTTTTAACTTGTCTGTTTTTAGAATTTTCAATCCCTTTTTTAGAACATGTGTTGGCATCTTGTGTCCAGGACAAAGTATTTTCTTCAGTGATTTAGTTGAGCACCTGTTTTCTACCCTACATTTAAATAAATTTAGATAATCAACAGATAACAGTGCAGATTATACTTGAATGATGTTTAAGTAATTTCTCCCCAGTGTAACATTTGATATTTACTGCATGTGAACATGTAGTGGATTCTTTTTTTTTTATTTTTTTTTACTATATATATCTTTTAATTTTTTAAGTTAACATATAATTAATTATTTGTTTCAGGGGTACAGGTCTGTGATTCATCATTCTTAACACCCAGCGCTCACCACACCTACCCTCCCCAGTGTCCATCACCCAGCCACCTCATCCCCCCGTCCCCCAGCAACCCTCAGTTTGTTTCCTGAGATTAAGAGTCTCTTATAACTGGTTTGTCTCCCTCTCTGGTTTCATCTTATTTCATTTTTCCCTCCCTTCCCTATGGATCCTCTGCCTTTCTCCGCATATCAGTGAGATCATTTGATAATTATCTTTCCCTGATTGACTTATTTTGCTTAGCATAATATCCTCTAGTTCCATCCACGTCGTTGTAAATGGCAGTATTTCATTTTTTTGATGGCTGAGTAATATTCCAGTGTGTGTGTGTGTGTGTGTGTGTGTGTGTGTGTGTCTGTGTATGTGTGTGTATATACCACATCTTCTTTATCCATTCATCTATCGATGGACGTCTGGGCTCTTTCCATAGTTTGGCTATTGCGGACATTGCTGCTATAAACATTGAGGTGCATGTGTCCCTTCGGATCATTACATCTCTATCTTTGGGGTAAATACCCAGTAGTGCAAATTGCTGGGTCGTAGGGTAGCTTTATTTTCAACTTTTTGAGGAACCTCCATACTGTTTTTCCAGAGTGGCTGCACCAGCTTGCATTCCCACAACAGTGTAGGAAGGTTCCCCTTTCTCCCTGCAGTGGATTCTGCAAGAAGTGTTTCTCTTAAAGTTGATTTATTTGTTCTCTTCAAAGTAGGTAACAGTAACAGTTATTTTGTGTGGTTTTAAGTACATGGTGAAAAATAGACTTGAATATTATTTGCTAGTTAATTTCCAGTGCTTTTTTCATTATATATATGAACATGGTTGATACATTAAATATCAGTTTACTTGAAATACTGAACTTTTTAAAGAAAATAGTGCAAGCCATACAGGTAAGTTCATAATAACCGTCTTTTGAACTAAAAATGCAATTTATTTTACTGTACTCCAACTTGTTTTAAAAAACTTAACCCTGGGGCTCCTCAGACTCTTGATCTTAGAGTTGTGAGTTTGGGTCCCACATTGGGCATAGAGATTACTTAAAAAAAAAAAAACATAAAAAACTTAACCCTGATTAAGCAATGATCAAGGATATGTTTTCTTTGGCTTTGGGGCAGGGGTGCTTGAGAAATCTTAGGTGATCACAGGTTAGTGTTGCTTTTTTTGTTTGTTTGATTGAAATGCCTTTGTAGGAATTTGGGGACGAAATTAAGTTGGAAATTTTTCAGTGGTGTCTTTCAGTCACTAGCCATTGTTGACCTCATCACATTGCCTTGCAAAATATATACAGGTCTGGGACATTGAAACTGAGTTAGTGGGCGCCTGGGTGGCTCAGTCGTTAAGCATCTGCCTTCGGCTCAGGTCATGATCCAGGGTCCTGGGATCAAGCCCCACATCCGGCTCCCTGCTCTGTGGGAAGCCTGCTTCTCCCTCTCCCACTCCCCCTGCTTGTGTTCCTGCTCTCGCTATCTCTCTCTCTGTCAAATAAATAAATAAAATCTTAAAAAAAAAAAAAAGAAACTGAGTTAGTTATAACTTTTCTTAGAGATTTCTAAGAATTAATTATGTATGATAAAAGTCACCAATTTGTACTTACTGATTTCATATGAGTGCTTGACCTTTGGAGAAAAGATGGTGTGTGTATAATATATATCTTATATATATATCACATATATCATATATATCAGTAAACTTTTCCTAAAAAATCTGGTTGTCCTCAATAAAGCTGAAAAGCCTAAATATTTTTTCTTTAATATTTTCTAGATTTCAGTGTTATTTAACAGTGTTTATAAATTATTCTTACCTGTTTACTCAAACAAGACCTTATTTTATGTACTTATTTCTTAATTTTGAGTTCTAATCTTTTTCTGATTCTTTAATTTAAAAAAACTTCAAATCCCGGGGTGCCTGGCAGGCTCAGTCTGTGTAACATGTGACCCTTGATCTCAGAGTTGTGAGTTTGGACCCCACTTTGAGTGTAGAGATTACTTAAATAATCTTGGGAAAAAATAAACCTTAAAATCCTGCTTTTTAAAAATTTGGAATAGCCTGTCAGTTAAATTTGTGAGTTTTGTTTGGTTTGACAGCCTCATTTTTCATAAACCTATCTAAGGGGCTCCTTTCCACGCAGTACGTCCTGCATCAAAGCAACCACTGTTTTATTTTGATGACCACAGATTAGTTCTGCCTGTTTTTGAAAAATGTAAATGGAATCATAGAATGTATACTCTTTGCGTCTGGCTTCTTTCATTCAACATAGTGTTTTTGAGATTCATCTGTGTTGTTGCAAACATCAGCAGTTGGTTCTCTCTTATTGCTGCATAGTGTACCATTAAGTGAATATGCCAAATTTTTTTTATCCAGTGTCCTGTTGATATATTCTTGGGGTAGATTCCACTTTAGGGTTATTATGAATAAAGCTGCTATGAACATTCTTGTACAAGTCATTCACACATTACGTTTTTCTTGGGAAAAATATCGGAATGGAATTGCTGAGTATAGGGGATGTGTTTCTCAGAAACTGTCAAACAATTTTCCAAAGTGTCTGTCCTCCTTTATACTCCCATGAGCAGTGTACATGATTTCTGTTCTGCTCTACATTCTTGCCAGCACTCAGTATTGTCAAGTCATATTTGTTTTAGCCATTATAGTATGTAGAGGTGTATCATTGTGGTTTTTAATATGCTTTTACCTAGTAACTTTTCATATACTTTTTGGCTATGCGGATACCTTTTTATGTGAAGTATTTTTGCCTTTCATACCCTCATTGCTAGTCCTGCCCCCCCTTATCTGAGGGGGACACTTTAGAGAACCCCAGTGAATGCCTGAGCTGTGGATAGTACCAACTCTTAATAAAGAACTATGTTTTTTCCTGTATGTACATAACTATGATAAAGCCTAATTTACAAATTAGGCACAGGAGGAGATTAACAGCAATAACTAATAATAGAACAATGATAACAGTATATAGTAATAAAAGTTATATGAGTGTGATGTCTCTCAGAATGTCTTACTGTACTGTTACCTTTCTGGTGATGATGTGATACGCCTACGTGATGAAATGAAGTGAGGTAAACAATGTAGGCATGGTGAAGTAGCATTAGGCTATTATTGACCTTCTGACACAACGTCAGAAGAGGATCATCTGCTTCTGGACCACCGTTGAGTGTAGGTAGCTGAAACTAAAGAAAGCGACACTGTGGGTAAGGGGGAACGACTATCACTAGGATGTGTGGTTTCATTGCTCTCCGTTGTAAAACTCCATCTTTGTATAACCTGTGATGTAAAAAAACGATTAGAATTCTGGAAAGCCAGATGTTGAGAATGCAGAATTGAATGTTCATATTATGGACTTCTGCTTTTTGTAAAATACAGCTGGAAAATAGAAATTATTATGTAATTGAACTTTTATTATGATGTCTGGCATGCTAATGTGGGTAGAAGATACATGGGTTTGATTAAAAAAATCAGTTTGTCTTAAAGATTTTATTTATTTGAGAGAGAGCACAGGCGGGAGAGGAGCAGAGGGAGCAGGACAAGCAGGCTCCACACTGAACGCAGAGCCCAGTGTGGGGCGCGATCCCTTGACCCCGATCATAGCCTGAGCCAACACCAAGAGTCAGACACCCAACTGATTGAGCCACCCAGGTCCACCTTATTGCCAGTTTTCAATCCAAAAGAGGTGAAAATTTAAAATGTCAAAATTCTTTGTCTAACTTCCAACTGACTGTTCAGTTAACTGGAACTGTATTCTGTTATATCATTTGTTCATCAGTTGAAATTGTATTAAATCAAAAAGGATGAACTTGTAGAAGTATTGTCCCTTGTTTTAGAGATTTGCTACTTTCATGGGTGTTTACTCATTTCCTTGGGAGATGATGGCTTTTGAATTTTTGGCCTAATTTCTTTGGATATATTATTCACGTAATCACACACTGTTTCCCTATACTCTTTGAAGATATATTATTATTTTTATTTTTAAAGATTTATTTTAGAGCAAGAGAGTGCATGCTTTGCACAAGACAGAAGAGGCAGAGGGAGAGAGTGCCCAAGCAGACTCCCCACTGAGTGAGCAGCCCAATGTGGAGCTCGATCCCAGGACCCTGAGATCATAACCTGAGCTGAAATCAAGAGTTGGGACACCTAACCAACTGAGCCACCCAGGACCCCCAAAGATACATTTTGTTGCCTTTTTTTTTTTTTTTAAGATTTTATTTATTTATTTGACAGAGACACAGCGAGAGAAGGAACACAAGCAGGGGGAGTGGGAGAGGGAGAAGCAGCCTTCCCGCTGAGCCGGGAGCCAGACGCAGGGCTCGATCCCAGGACCCTGGGATCATGACTGGAGCCGAAGGCAGATAGCTTAACGACTGAGCCACCCAGGCGTCCCTATTCTTTGTTGCTTAAAGCGAATCTGTTAACATTGAAGTAAAATTATTTCAGTAAGGACTCGTTACATATTTTCACTGTTGTAAATTGCCTGTAATAGCATTCGGTTTATTGCTTTAGCAGCCAGTAGTGTGGTCTTTGTCATGAAAGCAAAGGATCATATTAGTTTGTGAGCTCTATTCCATATAAGCTCTCTCTGATGGTAATGTTTGACAACATGGATATCCTCCCACCTCCATACCTCAAACTTCAGAACATATGCTCCTCAGAAGGGAAACCCTGCTGCAGAGCATGCCAATAAAGAATGTGGCTCTTTCATGGTTGATAACATGGGAATCTACTTCAGAGGAAATCATTACCTTTTACGTTGATTTCTGGCCAGGCATTTTCAACATGAGCCATTGCTAAAATCCTGTTTCTTGGGTATTCACAATTTGTTTGTTGTAATTTGAACAGCTTTGTAGAGTATTGCCCCGCTTCTATGCTTGCTGAAGTATCTATATTTTATACATTCCTTTCTTAGAATGTACTATCATAATTTATATATTATATAATACAAATTATATGTAATGTAAGGATTGTGTACTCAGTGGAAAAGAATACCTTCTCTAACTCAAAGAGGGAAGAAAGGTGCATTGTTACATAATTGACTTACGAATTGGCCTTCAATGTTTTATTCTTTAAGAAAATCATCAGAAAATATTGTATGTTTCTGACTAATTAGGGTGTGGTTAGAGGAGCCGATTTTCACTCTTAACAACTCCTATGTTTTGGCATGGGAGGGTAAAATCAAACATGAACTTGTACGCAATTTTTATTGACTCAGTTTTATCCTAAGATCGAAAATGGACCACTTTCATCCAAAGTGGTATCATATAGTCTTTTACAGTTGTGCTTTAAGATTTCAATTGAGGGAGACCTTTTCTTTTAATGTAATTATTGGCCACCCCCAATATTTGACAGTATCACTTTGATAGAGACAGCTGTTCTTCAGCATCAGAAAATATATGTATCAACTGTCTAGGACTTTACAGACTTTAAATCCAAATTAGGAGTATCATGGAATGGATGTACATGTGTAGTAGCTCACTGTAATTCTTTTATTAGTGGTGATTACATTCCAATGTACAATAAACCTGGTCACTTCTTTGTAAGACCACTTTAAACAGAATGCTAGTGATTTCAAATATTGAATTCAGATATTAAGCCACGCTTTTAAAGACTAAATATTGGCAACTAAACTTGGATAATTCTAGAGATTACCTTTCTAGGTTTCAATATAGGCAATGAATGCTTTGTAAATGGCGGGTTCACATTTTTGAAAAGTTGAGAAGATAGAATTTTAATAGTCTGGTTGTGCAGTTTGGTTTATGCGTTCCATTCTTGTCTGCCTTAACTTTACTAAAGGCAATATAATTACAGAAGTACAAATATATACCAAACCAACTTTATTGACAGATAGGATCCTGCATAGTAGAATGCTACTTGTAGGTGGAAATGTATAAAAGATAATATTTTGTTGATTTTTGGTATGCCTTGTTTGAAAAAATATTTAAGGTTTTATAACTGGGACCATGGGTCCTGTTGGATCATTTGGAATCCCCTTAAATTACATGCAGAATTTTGTGTTCATATTTTTTTTACATGCAAATTTGGGGGTGGAGGGAACTGTTCATACTCCATCCAATTTTCAGATATATTTGAGACCCAAATGGGTTTTGCAAACTGTACTAATTTAGGGTATTTCTAGTATTTGCGGGTCATGTACCCTAATAGTTAAAAAAAATTGATCACAAATTTGAATATTTATTTCTAAACTGTAATTGTGTACTCTTGTACTATTCAGGTATGTTAAAAGAGACACTTTATAAGGATGAGATAATACACCTAAAACTGTATTCCAGTGAAAAGTCTGGGGCTAGTGCTCTCTCAATAACACTGGCCCAAGGAATTACTAGGATAGGTAAGTCTTTTTCTGATGGGGCACAGCTGACATATTTGTGTGCCCTGCCCTGGTACAAGCAGAATAAAATGTTGCAGATTAGGGTAGGGATCAGGATCCTATGTAGAATTTTGGATTATAAGATTTCAGGCAGTGGTGTGCTGAGGGATCAACAAGGCAGAAAAGAGGGCCTGCCTATGGAAATAAAAACTAAGGATTTAGCAAAATAATATTTTAAAATTATTAGCAGACTTGGGAAACTCAACTTCTAGGATTTAGTGGTGTAAATTTACACCATTCATAAAATTGAACTGATTTTTTTTTTTTAAAGAATTTATTTGACAGAGACAAAGTGAGAGCGGGAACACAAGCAGGTGGGAGAGGGAGAAGCAGGCCTCCGGTCGAGCAGGGAGCCCGATGTGGGGCTTGATCCCAGGACCCTGGGATCATGACCTGAGCCGAAGGCAGACACTTAACGACTGAGCCACCCAGGCGCCCCAAATTAAACTGAATTTTAAGTCTCTTGATACTCTCTAAGAAAATGAATTCAAAGGAAAATCTTTATCGAGTGGAAACTGATTACTGTTAAGAACTTTATGATTTAACACTTCCGCCATTTTATTGATTATTGAAACTGGCTAAATTTGATTTTTTTGTATTCCTAGGAGGGCGAAAGAAAACATGGATGAAGCTTCCTGAATTTCGGCTTCTGGCATGAATCAAGTTCAGAGACTAGGAAGTGCTGGTGTCATTATTTCCTTTCAGGTGAGTCATTGTTAAAACATTGTTCCTTGCTTCTGTTTCCTTAGCCATACTTCCTGATCCTGACTTTGCTGACTTCATGAACATATGTCATGGTCCCCATGCTTTGAGATAGTGGAATGTTAGTGAATAGTTTACAGTGGGAGCTGAAACCTCTGCTTCTCTGCCTGTATTAAGGGACCCCCAGGGTTGCTGCTCTTTTCTCTGAGCAAAGTTGGAGGCTAGTTTTATCTCCAGATTGCCCTCGTCTTTCTTCACGGTTAGTTATTTGTCTTCAGGTAAAAATGAACTGAAGAGTAGAAATGACATATTAAACAGGTCTTTACTAAGAAAAGAAATTCCCTCTTGGTGTTTAGTGATCCCAAGTCTAGAAGTCTTAAGTTCCTTGGAAAGTGTGTAATCCTAAAAATGGTTTAATATCATAAATTCAGATCCATACTAGGGATACTAGCTCCATATCTTCCTTGCTGGTTTCACTCCCTGCTCAGCAGGGAGTCTGCTTCTCCCTCTGACCCTCTTCCCTCTCGTGCTCTCTCTCTCTCAAATAAATAAAACCTTTAAAAAAATTTTTTTTCTATAAACATTTACATTGTGACCTTCAGGACAGAATTCCAATGATGGTATACTGGCATCCTAATAGATCCAGAAAGTATTATTTTAAGGGCATTTCTTTCCTAACTACTTTATCTGGTGATGATAAACCATCTCTTCTGTTCTTGCTACTTAACATGTGTGGTCCCCGGGACCAGGAGAATCAGCCTTCTGGGCTTCTTGGCAGTGCAGAATCACAGAACACACAGCTGACTGAGTGAATCTGCCCATTTTAACACAATCCCAGGGGATTTGAATGAGTACACATTGTGTGAAAAGCACTGACATACAGAAACTTTGAGAAATTTCACCCTTTTAAAGTAGCTGATGCTGGTGCAGGACAAAAATGTGAGAGCTCTGTTTTGCATTCTATTATCCAGCTCTAGAAAATTAACTTTGTGTAATAGTTCTCAAAACTGATCCCTAGACTATCTGGAAGCTTAAGAATGCACATTCTCAGGTCCAGCTACTCAACAGAAACTTGTGGGTGGGATCCAGCAATGCAGTATTTTATTTTTAAAAGCCTCCAGGTAGGGGCGCCTGGCTGGCCCATTCAGTAGAGCATGTGACTCTTGATCTCTGGGTCAGGAGTTAAAGCCCCACGTTGGGTATAGAGATTACTTTAAAAAATAAGGGGGGGTGGTGCCTGCTGGGTGGTTCAGTCGGTTAAGTGTCCAACTCTTGATCTCAGCTCAGGTCTTGATCTCATTATGGTCTTGAGTTGGAGCCCTGCACTGGGCTCCATGCTGGGCATGGAGCCTACTTAGAAAAGAAAAGGAAAAAAAAAAAAAGCCATCCAGGTAAACTATTTTTTCTTTTTCTTTTTTTTACAGGTAAACTGTTTTCTATTGGAGAACCACGAACCTAGGGAATTACTAAAAAATTAGAATTGCCTTTTGAAATTAGAAAATTACTTTGTAAATACTCTGTAGACCTTTTGTTGGTATTAAATTTTTAAATTGCTGGGGTGCCTGGGTGGCTTGGTCGTTAAGCGTCTGCCTTCGGCTCAGGTCATGATCCCAGGGTCCTGGGATGGAGCCCCATGTGGGGCTCCCTGCTCGGCGGGAGGCCTTCTTGTTTCCTCTCTCGCTGTGTCTCTGTCAAATAAATAAAATCTTAAAAAATATATTTTTTTAAATTGCTTTATTTGTAAGCCCCTTAAATAAAATTTGAAGAAATAATCTCAAAATACGTGGGAAAGGGGAAAAAATTTAATGTGTGTAGGCTAACTGTGCCACAGATCCATGCTGTGGCATTTTGTGCCTATCAGATCTTAAAAGCTTGTCAAGTGGATCTGTCATTGGAACTTTAGGATTTTGAAGTTAATTTGGTAAGAGATGAATAGTGTTTATTTAAAATAACTGCTTTTCATTACAGATTTTCTAGTTAGTGGAAAAGAAAGTCATTTCAGGAAGACACTAACTTTTAAGTTTTAGAAGTTAATAAAATGCCCAAGTCTTATTAAAAATTGGGTCTCTTCAGGTTATCCTTTGAAACAGTGGTTCTCATGTTTTCAAGGGGCAGCAGAACCCCCTGGAGGCTTGTTAGAACAGACTGCAGACCCACCATGTGTGATTTAGAGGGCCTGAGAGTTCTCATTTCCGACAGCTGGTGTTGCTCTGGGGCAGGGACTGCATTTTCAGAACCACTTTTTTTTTTTTTAACATTAACATATTTAACTCTTCCAGCACTTAATCTCCAAACGAGCTCACAACAAAATACTAATTACAGAGGTGGATTACTGAAGAAAATTTTATAGGTGCAATGTGTTAATTCAGTTCTTGAATATTTTTTAGGTCTGTTGCTCATTGACTCTAGCCTAGCAAATTATTTTCTTTGTAACTGAAACTTCTGTGTTTCCGGTGGAAAATATACAATAGATGTTAATTTGCTAACAAAGAATTTACCTTTTTTTTTTCAGATCATTTTGTGGGAGAAATGCTTTTAAGACACAGGAGAAACAAGGCAGAAAACAAATTTCATTTCATTTGTGAATTTATTACTCCATACAAGCAGCTTATGGATGTATGAGTAATCCTAACATTTGACATTATGCCTCATGGAGTTTTCTTTGGTTAAAATAATATGTGGAATAATGCAAACTTCCATTTTCATTCAGGTGTTTTTTTGTTTTTCATTAAGATGTATATTGTGTAAGACTGTTGAATCACAGACCTGTACCTGTGAAATAATACATTATATGTTAAAAAGAAGATAGCAGGAAGGGAAAAATGAAGGGGGGAATTGGAGGGGGAGACGAACCATGAGAGAAACAAACTGAGGGTTCTAGGCGGGGGGGATGGTTTAGCCTGGTGATGGGTATTAAAGAGGGCACGTATTGCATGGAGCACTGGGTCTTATACGCAATGAATCATGGAACACTACCTCAAAAAACTAATGATAGAATGTATGGTGATTAACACAACAAAATTAAGAAAAAAAGATGTATACCTACTCTTGGTGTGGTCTTGCCATGGAAAGTAGTGTAGTAACCCACAAATACAGAATAACCAACAAACTTCCCTTTCAACTCCCTATAAGTGGGAACCATTAGAGGGATATTTTTTACAACCACACGTGGCCTGCAATTTTGGGTCAGTCCCCAAGATAAGGAGCTACTTGTGGAATCTGGCATTGTTGTGAGAAAGATCGTGTTTTACTAAAGCCCATATATATTTTAGCCCAAAGAAAGCAAAGAATGGCGGATATGAGCAAGGCAGAGTGTGTTGGAGAGTAATGGAAAATTACTTTCTTCCAAGTTAAACTGATGGCCCAATATTAGGGTTAGATTCTAGCTGGGGTCCTTGGGAGCTTTGAATGTTGGCATAGGACTATTTCCCAATTTTAATTTGGTCCTTACTTGATTGTGACTCATTGTAATTACAATTTTCTACCTTACTAGTAATGCTCTTCTGTACTTGGAGGGAGATGTAAGGCTTAGAAATCCCAGATTTGGTCTGAAAGGAGCATTATCTGCAAGTCAGCACAGGATGGAGGAAAGCAGTGTGGGTTCTATCAGTGGTTCTCTGCACTTATTTAGCCAACACTTGGACCAATAAAGCTTTAAAAATTTAAAACAATTTTAGGGGTTTAGTTTTAGGCTATGAAACACCAACTACATAAAATATTAAAATTTTCCAAATGCTTACCTTAGTTCATAAATCATTTTTGATAATTCTGGTGTATATATCCTCCTTTCCCCTGGTCTTTGCTAATCATCCTCCTTGCTTTAAAGACACCAGACTTGCATGGTAAATGCTTTATCAGGTCCTTTCACTGTTAGCTAAGCCTTTTTCCAGCACTGATAAATTCTTACTTTGAAAGCTGCCAGTGTTAACACTGGGTCAATTCTAAAAGCACCTGAGCTTCAAATTGCAACCTCCTGACATTTCAGTGAAAATAAGACAGGAATGACTTGGGAAGAGGGTGTATGCAAATGCCCTGTTCTCAGAGGGAAACCAAACTCCCTAACTGTAGCTGTTCAACATTTGAGTAGTTTGGATACTGGATGCTGCTCTTTGGTACTATTGCAGGTAAAAAAAAAAAAAAAAGCATGTATAATGTGCTTTGTACTATAGCCATACTCATTAGAGTGGACCAGATCTGAATGATACAGAAATTGAATTAACCCAGTTATGATGTCCTTACTGCCGTATGCACTGGAAAGGAGTAATGGCTGAGGGGTGATTTTTCTTTTTAAAGAATTTTACTTATTTGAGAGAGCGAGCAAGCGAGATTTGGGGGGGGGGAGGGGTAGAGGGAGAGGGACAAACAGACTCCCTGCTCAGCAGGGAGCCCTACATGGGGCTCAAACCCAGGACCCTGAGATGACAACCTGAGCCAAAGGCAGATGCTTAATGAACTGAGCCGCCCAGGTGCCCCTCATTTTTTTAAGTTAATATAAAATTGAGGGGCGCCTGGGTGGCTCAGTTGGTTAAGCGTCTGCCTTCAGCTCAGGTTCTGATCCCAGGATCCTGGGGATTGAGCCCCACATCGGGCTCCCTGCTCGTGGGGAGCCTGCTTCTCCCTCTCTCTCTGCTGCTCCCCCTGCTTGTGCTCTATGCCTCTCTCTCTCTCAAAATCTTAAAAAAAATTAAAAAAATAAAATTGGAATAAAAATGTGTATTATTTGCTTTTCTCAGTGAGTCTGGCTGAACAGCAGTGCATCCCATTTTTGACGATCTGCTTAATGATAAGATTGTCCATGGCCTAGATATAAAGCTCAGTTACATATTCTGTATTGTATATACTTTCTAAGAAGACTGCTTTGGTTTTGACCTATAGTACTGTAAGCCTTAAGGTGCTGCTTTGAGACTTGCTTTTCCAGAGAAACCATGGCTCATACTTTGTACACATTTTATTTAAATGTCAAAGTAGCAGCATCATCAGTATCTGATGGAATTAAGTTGCCTCATCAGAGAACCAACAAGAAACCACTCAAGTGTGAGTCTCTAGACCATTCTTCTCCATCCTTAAGAAACCAGAACTTTCAGAGTGGACAGGTGTGCTTTTCATCTGGCTATAGAGAAGCTATAATGGTTCAGAACAAAAGGTATTAAATTGGCTTTTCTATTCCTAGTAGACACAACTGTGTTTACATAATTTACTACCACATCCAGCATAACTGGTAGAAGTTGAGATGGACAACTTAAAAGGTTGTGGTACCCCAAATCTCACACTTTTGTCTTCCTTCCCTAACTCTGCTTCTGTCAAAATAACTTGTTCAATTTCTCCATAATTAATAGTTTCTTCATCTCTTACAAACAGCTTTCATATTTCTGAACCTAAACTTCTAAAGAAATTATTCATCAGGGTGCCTGGGTGGCTCAGTTGGTTGGGTGACTGCCTTCAGCTCAGGTCATGATCCTGGAGTCCCGGGATCGAGTCCCGCATCAGGCTCCCTGCTCAGCAGGGAGTCTGCTTCTCCCTCTGACCCTCTTCCCTCTCGTGCTATCTCATTCTCTCTCTCAAATAAATAAAATCTTCAAAAAAAAAAATTCATCAGATTTTCTACTTGATTTCTAGCCTAGCCTTACCTCACCTCTTGGATAAACAGCACATCGCCTTTTAATGTATGCTGTTAAAGCTGATACTATCTCAAGCATGATTTTCAGAACAGAAATTTTCTTTAAAAACCCATTTCTCTTATATGTATTGTATTATTTGAAGGTACCATCTCCCTGACTGTCCCTGACCTACCACTGCTGCTAACTCAAATCTTTTATGACTTTTTTCCTAGAAAGCTATGAAGTCAGATAAAGTGCTAATGACGTCATACATGACTCAGTACGGATGAAAAAATTCCAATCCCAGCCATCATTTAGCTAAAAAATGACACATTAGTATCCCCCTTGTATTGAAGTCCTGAGACTTGAAATACAAAGAAAACAGACCAACATTTGGTGTTTTATTGAGAACAATGTAGGAAAAGGCAGTATGTAAAGTAAAAATGGCTCTCTGAAATGTCTATACAATGTATGTGGTCTACTATATGACAGTCTGAAAATTTTTCATTAAAATTGTAAATTATAAAACCAATCAGGAACTAAATAATTTTATACATCTCCATAGTCCAGACTGAGTCTGACTTCTTATTTGGCCACATAGTTCGTGAGAGACTATAAAAGACCTGTGGGGTATCTCTAGAAGCAGTAACTCTTCACACGAGGCACAATGTGGCAAATAAACCTCGGCTGGCCTTCCCAGTGTTCGTAATAAGGGCACAGGATCTGGCTTTTGAAAATTACTTGATGGATTCCAAGAACAAGGATCAAAGTCCACAAGTAGTATCTTCTTTTAGGCCCCATAGTGTCCTGGCTTACATTTTTTTTGCTGTATCTTAGATTCTTATTACCTTTTCGACAAATAAAGGATGACTGCAAATACACACAGTTGTCACCTCCAATTCAGGGTCTGTGGCAACTGCATATTACAAACAGCTCAACCTCTTCCCTTGAATCTGCCTACCAAGTTAGAAAGTCATCCTTTAAGGGCAGCAAA